CAGCGTCGGCTAGCCTAGACTCTGAGATCCAGACTGCCGGCTAATCCTACCATGCGCATCCAGTTGCTTGTCGGCGGCGGCTCTCCTACATGGGTCATGGAGCGAGCGCTTGCGTCGACAGCGAGGCGCGGAGGCACAGGGCACTACGTAGTCACGATAGACTCGCAAACCAGCGCCAAGCCCGCCCCTCTCGTAAACGCGTTTTATGCGGGTCGGGGGCCCGTGTTGGGGATGCTGCCCTTCCAGGTCCTGGCTTCCCGGTCCTGGCTTCCCGGTCCTGGCTTCCCGCGCGAATAGGACAGTCGCCGCGCCGCGTTCTTTAACGGTGCGGGGTTACTTCTGAGCGAAAAGGAGTTTGGAAAATGGGTTTTCTCCTTGGTCAAATCGACAATTTTCATCGAGAGAACCAAGAAAGGCGGGGTTATTTCTAAGACAACCAAGGCCAAGCAGTAGTGACGGAAGCCACTAAAGCCACTGAAGCCACTAAATATTTTGGCGCATTCCTTACCATTTCAGAGCGACGCCATAAACTACCAAGCGGATTCTTTTCCTCTTCTTTATTTTATTCCATAACCATAATCCTACCCATCATTACCACCACTCCTACTATGGATCCAGCAACCCAAACGACGCAAACGAGTGGTGGAGGCGAAATACCCCAATATACTCTCAAACAGTTCAACTCAGAGTTGAAGCGTCTTTTTGTCCACGTTTACAAATCGCTACAGCCCGAACATCGTTCCACCGCACTCCGCGAAATTGATATATTCCTACGAAGCGCGCGGAAATCAGGAATTGGGGAATCTCATAACGGTATGTATATTTTAAATTAGTTTCTAGCTATCACAAAATAACAGGTTCTTTCCAGGATCCCAGGACGGTACCCAGTACGACGATCGTGGGGACGGTACCCAGCATAACGAACCCTCTCAACACGACAGCGTCGCAGCATCTCGACACGACAGCGTCGCAGCATCTCGACACGGCAGCGTCGCAGCATCTCGACACGGCAGCGTCGCAGCATCTCGACACGGCAGCGTCGCAGCATCTCAACACGGCAGCGTCGCAGCATCTCGACAAGGCAGCGTCGCAGCATCTCGACACGGCAGCGTCGCAGCATCTCGACAAGGCAGCGTCGCAGCATCTCGACACGGCAGCGTCGCAGCATCTCGACACGGCAGCATCGCAGCATCTCCACACGGCAGCATCGCAGCATCAGAGGACGACATCAACACTAACGATAGTGATGATAATAACGAGGAAGAACTTGGTACAAGCAGCGGTCGCAAGAGAACTGCTATATCCAGTATCAAGCCGAAAGCCAAACGGCAGAAGAAAGCCGAGGTGTCCACACTTAGCCAGCTTGTCGAGAATCTTCAAGCCCAGGATCCCCTTATCATCCACCAGAAGTGCTATCGGCCCTGCTCTGCCGTCCAGACCGTTAGCGATAAGGTTCTGGAGCAGCCCGAGATGGCCGACCGAGAAGACGAGATTTTAGCAGTCCTCAAACTACTCAGCCATATATTTGGCCAGAATGGGTGGAACCACTGCCGGTCACTGTACAAAGAGTACTACATGAGGCGCAAGGAGCACAAAACCGCATTGACGATATCGACAACCATTACTTCCAAGCTCCGGGAGCTGGGTTGTACGACATTATTCCGGTTTGTAACATTATGGAGCGACATAAAAGTAGAAGAGGCTGGAGGTCCAAAGTGCACAGACTTGCGACACCTCAAGGCCCACCTTGAGCTGGTCCGAATTTGGGAATCCATTAACTTACAGGACGCGAACCGGTTAGACGAGCTCAGAGTCCTTCGCTGTTCTGATATCTTCCAGAAATTCCTCATCGACAAGAACCTCATGGGTAAACGGGGCAGCACGCGCCAGTCACAACTAACCTCGTTCGTTGCACACCAATTGGGCATTACCAATAAGAAATTCACCATCACTGCCTCTCGCTACAAACCCCTTCTCACCTTGGTTCGGCATTTTGGAGAAGGAGTGTTGGCATTCGTACCTCGGAGCAGCCTGCTTGTACGCTTCCGTCGGGTACGTACCGTAGCAGCAGCAAAAGAAGAAGAGCAAGGGCTTTCCACAATCATTACAAGGATGAAGCAGGAGTTTCCTGGTATCTCCGACCTCTGCTCTGAGGCACTAGGCAACTTGGTAGAGCCTATCCTTGAACAGGGGGACCTGCCGCCAACTTTGGGCCTCGCACTTCTAAACGCGGGGGAGATGTCAACGTTCCATTCCAAGGGTGTATGGGAGTTGGTGACGAATGGAGCTAATACGAACCCTAATCCAAGGGTCACCGAATTACAAGACGAGGATGGATCGGAGGCTGATAATGGGGGCGGAGCTGAGGAGGGAAACCTCTTCTCTGATTCAGATTAGAGACCACCCGGAGGGTGCCGAGAGGATATTACTGGGGTAATTATTCATTTGAAGCATCATGAGACTGGGAGCCATTCCATCGGGAGTGGCAGAAATCCGAGGTCTCGCCTTTGCATCGTGGCGGCGCTAGGAGGGGCTGAACAAACCTTAACGCCATAAACGCAGCCTAGAGTAGAGGCCTTCCAAGGCCGGGGACCCTCCAAGACCGGGGACCTTCCAAGGCCGGGGACCTTGCAAGGCCGGGGATCTGAGCATCATGTGAGACTGGGAGTGCGGTCATTCCATCTGCGGAGTCGGGAAATGCAACGTCTCGCCCTTCGTATCCGTAGCGGGGCCGGGGGCTGGGAAATGACTTTAACGCCACAGACGCGGATGAGAGTGGAGAATCCTAGCCGGGAGATTTGAGTCGCAGAGATATGAGCGTTGCCTTAGCGCTTATTCTATCTATGGAGCCGAAATGCGAGTTCTTGTCACGGGTAATAGGATTTAACGGACAAATGCCATTAATATGCCATATTTAATTAGTGTCACGGCCGGCTTGGAATGAGGGCAGAACTCCTCTATTGGGCGCTATAGACGAAGATTCTAAACTAAAGGGAAAAGGGAAAAGAAGCTCAAAAGCCTCCCCTCGCGAGATTCTTCCAGGACGTCTCAAGGTGGGGCTCTGGCTGGTCGGGTGGATCCACCCAACTGGCGTCTGATTAGTCAGAGCGTCTGGGAGGCCTGGAGGACCAGGCCCTCACAATTAGTGTAAAACTAAGCTAGGGAAGAAAAAGAAAGAAGGATCACGAGAATTGCGACCGGTGCCAAAAGGTTTGTGGGCGAAGTTTGCGTGTGACCCACACGCTAAGCCTAATTGGGCTTTTGGGAATGGTGACATCACACGGCCAGCGTCAATGAACCCACCTGTGCTGTGCCGTGACAGGTCTCGCCCTTCGCATCCGTGGCGGCGCTGGGAGACCTTCCAAGGCCAGGAAATCTGAGCACCATGTAAGACTGGGTTTACGTCATTCCATCCGGGAGCCAAGGAAATACGAGGTCTCGCATTCGTATCGTGGCGGCGCTAGGAGGGGCTGAATGGACCTTAACGCCACAAACGCAGCCCAGAGTAGAGGCCTTCCAAGGCAGGGAATCTGAGCGTCATGAGACTGGGTTTACAGCCATTCCATCCCGGAGCCAAGGAAATGCGAGGTCTCGCCCTTCGCGTCCGTGGCAGCGCTAGTATCACGGCTCAGTCAACGTAAGGAGACAGGGCTGCAGTAATCATTGCTGAATTCGTAGAATCTAAAGATGAAGAAGGAAGCTATGGCAGAGACCGCGCAGGACGCGGGGAAATAGGTGGTTGTGGGCCACGTGCACGTCATGCACGGGCCATGCCGTGACAGGTAGGAGATCTTCCAAGGCAGGGAATCCGAGCATCATGAGACTGGGTTTACAGCCATTCCATCCTGGAGAAATGCGAGGTCTCGCCCTTCGCGCCCGTGGCAGCGCTAGGAGATCTTCCAAGACAGGGAATCTGAGCATCATGAGACTGGGTTTACAGCCATTCCATCTCGGGGCTAAGGAAATGCGAGGTCTCGCCCTTCGCGCCCGTGGCAGCGCTAGGAGATCTTCCAAGACAGGGAATCTGAGCATCATGAGACTGGGTTTACAGCCATTCCATCCTGGAGAAATGCGAGGTATTGCCCTTCGCGCCCGTGGCAGCGCTAGGAGATCTTCCAAGACAGGGAATCTGAGCATCATGAGACTGGGTTTACAGCCATTCCATCCTGGAGAAATGCGAGGTATTGCCCTTCGCGCCCGTGGCAGCGCTAGGAGATCTTCCAAGACAGGGAATCTGAGCATCATGAGACTGGGTTTACAGCATTCCATCCTGGAGAAATGCGAGGTCTCGCCCTTCGCGCCCGTGGCAGCGCTAGGAGATCTTCCAAGACAGGGAATCTGAGCATCATGAGACTGGGTTTACAGCATTCCATCCTGGAGAAATGCGAGGTCTCGCCCTTCGCGCCCGTGGCAGCGCTAGGAGATCTTCCAAGACAGGGAATCTGAGCATCATGAGACTGGATTTACAGCCATTCCATCCCGGGGCTAAGGAAATGCGAGGTCTCGCCCTTCGCCTCCGTGGCAGCGCTAGGAGATCTTCCAAGGCAGGGAATCTGAGCATCATGTGAGACTAGGATTACTGTTATTCCATCCACGGAGTCGGGGAAATGGAACGTCTCGCCCTTCGCATCCGTGGCAGTACTAGGAGACTTTCCGTAGGGTTAACCTTACTACCTGTGACGGCGTTTAGCAACCCACTACCGCTGCACCACACCTTCCAAAAGGATGCCAGAATTACAAGCCGTCAGGCTGCAATTCTATAGTGGGTTATAGCATGGTCACGCACCCGTAGGGCCTCAGCGCCTACCGCCGTGCCGTGACACTGCCACAAAAGCGTTTACAAGACTTCCTGATCTGAGCATCATATGATGCCAGGATAATTTGTAAGGGAGCTACGGATATCACTGTATCTCGCGGGTTGTATTCCATTTCACTACTGTATGTACGGCTGTTGTACCTTCGGGTTTATATTAGGTTTACACTCCCCAGTATCATAATATCAATCATTCTCTTATGCAGTACTACAAGATTCCCAAATATCAGCGGCCAGATACTTGTGCAGAAGCTTTCACCTCAGCAAATCAATACGACCTAGATCGAACATACGCTACCATGCCTCGTGAACGAAGACAACGTCCACAGCCTCCTAGACTCCCCCAACCCACATTAGTAACCTCAACAACCTCGAGGACCAGCAGAATTGAGGTTGTTATCCCTAGTCGGCCACACGGCCTCGCTGGCTACACCCGTATAGCACAGCCGGCCGGCGCCCTCGCTCTAGCCACCGTACCACGCAATACAATACAACGTGAAGACACTCCTACCTTCTCCGAGCTCTTGGCGAATACCTCGACCACCTCGATCACTAGTGTGATCGGGGATATCATCCCCGGCCGGACACATAGCCCTGCCGGCCGTGCCCGCGCAACCGCCAGCCGCGCCCGCGCAACCGCCGGCCGCGCCCGCGCAACACAGCCGGCCGGCACCCTCGCTCCAACCACCGTACTACGCAATACGACACAACGTGAAGACACTCCTGCCTTCTCCGAGCTCTTGGCGGATACCTTAACCACCTCGATCACTGGTGGGATCGGGGATATCATCCCCGGCCGGACACATAGCCCTGCTGGCCGCGCCCGCGCAACCGCCGGCCGCGCCCGCGCAACACAGCCAGCCGGCGCCCTCGCTCCAACCACCGTACTACGCAATACGATACAACGTGAAGACACTCCTGCCTTCTCCGAGCTCTTGGCGGATACCTTAACCACCTCAATCACTGGTGGGACCGGGGATATCATCCCCGGCCGGACATACAACCCCGCCGGCCGCACTCGTGCAACTCGGCACCCATCCCCGGGCGCAAGCCAACGAGGACTTGTAACTAGGTATTACTCTCCGAAAATACAACTATTAACACATATATACTTACTTATCTTTGCATCCATCCAGGTCCCGGGAAAGGCGCCCTCCACCTACCAATCCTGAGCCGGCATCGAAGAAGCAGAGAACAAGGGAGAGCCATCGCGGGGCCACCACGGCCGGCAACGAGAACGGGGACCTGAATCCTAATGAGCATTTCAATGGCTTTGGCAACCATTTTGATCCTGAGCAGAGCAACCCGGCGAGCAATCCTGAGCAGAGCAGCCTGGCGAGCGATTCTGAGCAGAGCAGCCCGGCGAGCGATTCTGAGCAGAGCAGCCATTCCCTTCGGCAGAGATCTGAGCCACCAGATGACGAACAGCAGGAATTCCCGGATCATGTCTCTGAGTGGCTTGATGATAACAACGGCCCCGTTAGATGGCAACCACGGCTTCCACCAGCTGCCTCCGTACTGGAGTGGATTCAAGGCGCCCGGGATGGCCGGCACCGGCTCGCCCGCCGCATCATTTACGCACTTCATGTCGGCATAATCCCGTGTCCGGCTCTGGCCCACGCTCGTGATGAGGCAAAACACTTTGGATCATGTAGGCGCCACCGGGGGCTACGGTACACCTATGATATCGAAGGCAGGAGCCATCCCATGAGCGCTGCCGAGATGGATCTTCAACTAGGAATCCATCGCACCGGCGAAGATATCCCAGGCCTTTGGCTAAATAGGGATCGTCTAGCCTTCCCCAGCCCAGGCCGCCTCCAGACCCTCTTCTCCGGACCACTACAAGAGGGCGAGGAGATATGCCTTCACAAGGATGCGCCCTGCAAGCCACCGCTGCAATACTCGCTCAAGGACGTTGATAGCTCTATCGCCATCTTCTCGGACCTGAACTCCTTCCGCGCATCAATCAGTCTTCCAATCATTGCACAGCCTGCCTCACTCTTGCAAAGTTCCATTCACCTCCAATACGAATTAGAGGTCGAGGGAAGATGACTAAGGTCCCCATTCATAAGATCCCCCACATCTTGTTCGCCACTACCGGTACCCGGTCTCACCCAATCTTCGCGTTCTTCCCAGCAATGTACGAACCCGAGTGTTCAATCTTCCTCAGCGACAAAATGTATGCGACGTTCTATGACCATCTCCTACACCCGGCCCTCGAACAACTCTCATATAGGGCACAGTCAGCAAGGTTTTCCAGTGATGCAGTTTCCCAAACTTCCCAGCATATTCCCCCAAACTTCATCGCGGCGCAGAACGCTTCCAGGGCCAAACTGGAGAAGTCCGGCAAGGGCGGTGGCGCGCATGGGAGTCCGATTGGCATTACCATTAACCCATCGAAAGATACCATGGTCTGGAACCACATGGTGCAGGAACTCGACAACGTCCACGCGTCTCGGGAGTCCACCCTCCTCCAGTTCACCGGCATGTTCTTTCTTTACAATGCCAAGGGTCTGAAACTCGAAACGCAGCGGCAGAGGGTCCTCTCGGAATGTATCGAAGACTTTGCATTCGAACAGGCTGAACACTTCAAAGAGGTTTTGTCTGTCGAGAACCAGAATCGGCAGTACATTGACGTCGCAGCAGAGGTCATGTCAGTCCCCGATGGGAATTATCCGCAAGGCGCGACGCTGCTCGCCAAACGCTGCTGTGTGTACAACACAATGAAATTTGTACTAGATGGGCAGCTCAGGGAATCTCGCAGAGCCAGCAGCCGTCGGTCGGAAAGCGGAAGCGACTCTGACGCCGGGGAAGACGACCAGGCAATAACAGTGGCTAGAGGGCCTCGTGATGCGGCGTTTCAGCCACCCCACATACCGAGGGCCACTGTGACCGAATACCCCATCGGCCTCCTCAGAGATACCGTAACACTTACGGCCGAGCCCAAGCGCAACCACCCCCACACCAACGACGGGCTGATATACTTACAGTCGTATAGCCCGCTCAAGGAGCGAATGGACGCAAAGAAGATCTACCCCTTCTCCCACCCCGGCATCGCCAACCTGGGCTATAGTGAGGCCGACCACAACAGCATCAACATTCTCCAAAGGACAAATAACAACCGGTCAGAGGCAAAGAGCGCAGACATCCGATCCAGAAAGCGTATCAAGGAAGTTCTGAAGCATACCAGAACCGAGAACTTTGGATGGCGTACTGAGTTCCGGGTGACCCTCGGTCTCGCGCACGTCATTTGGGAAGAAGACGAATGCTGGGCAAAATTTCTTGGCGAATTTTCCCAGGAGACGCGAATCCAGAACTCCGGACTATCTACCAGGGTTATCTCCTCAGGGCAAGCGCAAGCTGACGTGAATAACATCACATTCCCCTCTGATGCTTTCCACATCTATAGGACCAACGAGTTCAGGAACTTCTTGCAGGGTAACATCCAGAAGCATCTCATAGTGGTCGACACCATCAGAGCTCTGTATAGTCCCAACCAGGCCACACCATTGGAGGTTGCAAGACTGCATGGGCTGCTTATCCTTGGTCTACGACACTTCATCTCGCATCTCTCGCCAAGTGAAGCCTGGATGCTCAATAACCCGCTTCGCCGTTCCAACCTTGAGACTAGGAAGCCCGGCTTCGGATTACGAGAAACAATGGACCGGTTTGGCTTCGGGTTCTTCCACCACGGCATAGTCGATTGGAGAGATTTCAAGATCTCCAAGGAGTACATCGATAGTGTGACTCTCCCGGGCTTCCAAGTTGTCACAAGATATCTGCCTGTCGTCGAGTACCAGGAAACCCGGTCATTCCTTGACGAGCTTCTCGAGATCATCGACAAACAGACGCCAAGAGAGATTTCCGAATTTGTTCTCGAGAAATGCGTCCACCTCATACTCCAGAACTATCGCCAAGTGGCGTTCCTCAAGTTGCTTGGCCAGAAAGAAAAGCAACCCCCAACGCCGGTTAGTGGCCGTTCTTTCTGTTTGCAGGGGCTACAACAAGAGGCCAGGAAAATCGGTAGGGACGTCGGCATGATCAAGGGCAATAAGTCCTACTTCAAAAAAATGCATACCTTTTTCGTTTGGACGTGGGAGAAGACCGAGATCGGGTTTAAACGGACACATATAGATAAACTATCGTTCCGGACACTCTACCACGTGGCTTCTAGTACTCTCAACGAGAAAGGCAGTTCTTTTGCGACGGTCGAACGATTGACACAGATACTGGCATACCGTTTCTTCGAGCAGCATACCGCGCTGCCATACCCAGATAGCAACGGCTCGATGCAACAAGTAAGCAAGAGCGGGGTACGGATGTTCCTTGTCTTTCAACCTCTTCCGGCTGTCGATGCCGTACCGCGGGCTGAATCGTGGACATCCATCGTGGGAGAAGTCTCTACAGTGACAGATGAGTACGCTATTGTAAGGGCTCCTGCACCAGTGCCCGGTTGTTTAGATAGAATCATCAGCGCCAATACCGCGAAGGCTTGGATTACCCACGGGCAAAGCCTCGCCCACTATAAGTAATAGTTATCTTTCCTATCTCTAATGAAAATCATATTAGGTTAGAAGAGATAGTGTCACGGCGCGCAACGGCCGTAGCACACTATAACCCACTACAGGTTGCAAGTCGACAACTTGCAATTCTGGCATCCTTTTGGGGTTCTAGCGCAGCGGTAGTGGGTGCTGTGAGCTGGCGCCGTCACAGATAGTATATGAAAATTTCGAGTAATTTAGGGCACCGTTAGATCTATTGTCAATCTCATTATCACTACATAGCTGATTTAAGGTGACAAGGCCCGTAGACATATGGTTGGTTATGCACGAGGAGGTTCAGCGACAGTAATGCACGGGTCAAGTGGTTGACCATTCGAAAAAAATACAGGGAAGGGGAACAAAAAAGCAAAGAAGGGGAAAATGAAGGAAAAAAAAACCAACCACCCCCGGGGAAATAAAAGGTAAGATTTGAAGAAAGGAAGGCAGAAGCAGAATAGAAAATCAATTCAATACCAACCGACCAACCAACCGACTACGTACCCACCAATTCAGGTTATTCAGCATTTAAACGGAATTATGGAGTTGTTTAATAACTTGTTTATACTTTCCCCCGATTACTGTTTGGCGATTTGCCGCGAGCATCATAGTGCGGTAACGGCAGGATCGATGGCGTATCACGTCCATTCGCAATACCGCCGTATAGTCAAGAAAGTGCGCCAACGCGTCGCGAGGAGGCGGGCAAGTTAGAGAAGGGTGGCACGTTGGCAGCCGGCGTCCATGGGATCCAGTTCCCGACTGGAATTGTGCCATCGATTAGGCCGTTGCCCGTTTGGAGCGATGGCAAGAAGTGCACGCGATGGGGGCACATCCGGCAAACCAAGCAAGATATTCAGAAGCATTGCCGAGACGAGCATGGATGGGTCAACCCGCGGGGGCAGGGCGGGAAAGCCGGGGCGAGAGCAGTAGGCGGCATGGGCGAGGTGTGGGTAGACAGCGTGTATTGCCAGCGGTTCGGGCAAACAGGGGCATTGCAGCGGTTGTTTGAGGTTGTGCCAGCGGCCGATACGGAGGGCGGGGTCGGCAGGGGAAGCAGCCGAGTTGGCACCACGGAGTACAAGGTAATTATGACGCAGTTCGAAGAGTTGGCCAAGGCAATAGAGGAAGGGGACAAGAAAGCGGCGGCATTGACCCACGACCAGCCCAGGTTGTCAGCCAATATGTGGATCCGGCGGACGGGTTGGATCCGGCGGACGGGTTGGATCCGGCGGACGGGTTGGCCCCGGCATTTACGATGGTTTGATCGCGAGTGGTTAACGGGAACGACGCGGCGGCCAGACGCAGACGGTGGACAAAACGCAGGTGATGATAAAAGGGGGGTGTAGAGGGGGGCGGGGACGAAGCAGGCGGCGAAGCAGGCGGGGACGAGGAAACCCAGGAAGAAGCAGGTAGGGACGAAGCAACCCGAGAAAAAGCGTTGGCCAGGGTATTATTGGCCATCGAGAGGGTAATTTGGCGGGCCCAAAAAGCATCGCGGGCCGAGATGGTCGGGTCGGCCACGGTGAATTACATCGAGAGGCGAGAAGCCGGAGAGCAGTCGAACGAGAAACCGTTCAATTCGGGCCAGAAAGGCCAAACGATGGAGGGGTATAGCGAGTCATGGAAATCGATAATGGCGTACGTGTGGCGGACGCAGCATTTAGCAGTGGCCGAGGAAAGAGAGGCCGAGGTAGAGGCCGAGGGAGAGAAGAAGAGGAGGGAGAGGAGGGCGAAGCGATAGACGCGCGGGGACAAAATGGTAATACAGGTTCCACAGACGCCAGCCAGGAAGGGGGGATCCGCAACAAACGACCGGCATACCATTTAACGCAACGCCAAGCAGACAAGTTCACGCAATTGCAAGAAGTCGCGTATATAGCGACAATAGCGCATATACAGTTAGAGGAAGATAGCAACGGCAACGGCGACAAAGAAGAAGACGAAGACGATACGCAACAGTTAGAGCGTTGCGTATTAGCATTTTTTTATTTCATTATTAGACCATGATGTGGGCAACAACGAGTATCAGAACGCATGATATAGCGGGTTGGCCGTGTTGGGGATCCACGTCGGGCACGGTTGGAAGAGCGCGTCGATATATACGCCCACGTTATCGGCAATCGTGACGGTGGCCCGTATGTTGGTATTATATACGGCCAAGCGGGGGCGTGAGGAGGAAATCCAGAACAGGATCCGGGCGAGCGGTGAGAGCGAGCAAGAGGCGAGACGTAAGGCGCGGAGCCATTTGACCGCGTCCAGGGGATGGTGCAGCGTTTCATGACCATCATAGCATATAATGGCCGGCCGTCGCCAATGGATTCGATATTGCGGTTGCGGACATACGGCAAAGCGATCCGGGCAAACACAAACGCAGACGGCGTGGTGGATTAGCACGGGGACGAGTTGTTGTACGGGCATGTGCAGATCAGCATGTCGTCGTTGCGGATGATGATACACGGGTTGTTGCACACGGCAAGGGGGCAGTTACGGCGGGAAATGTTGTTGTTGGAGACGGACGACGAGGGCGAGGTAGTAAAAGGGTCGACGGCGAGCGAGGCGATGAAGTCGTTTCGGGCACAATTGTTGGTATTAATGCACATGAGCGGCGGGCAGCCGGCGCGGGGGACCGAGTTAGTTACGGTCCAGTATAAGAACGGGGCGGACGGGGATACGCGTGGGTTATTTGTCGAGGACGGGTTGATGGTATTCGTGACAATGTACAACAAGACGATGGGGATGAGCGCAAAGGGAAAGGTGATCCACCGGTATTTACCGCGGGAGGTGGGCGAGTTGGTGGCGTATTACGTGTCGTTGGCGGTTCCGTTTTGGAGGGTAGTGGTCAGGGGCGCAAGCCGAGGTTCGGCGGATTGGGGCAGCCCGTATGTATGGGAGCCGCAGAAAGAAAGCGCATGGGCGTTCCCCACGGCGGTGAAGAGGAAGCCAACAGATGCAGGGCGACCGCAAGGTACGGTTGGGAAAAGGAGGAGAATACGGGAACGGTCACCCCGGGGTCGAGGGTACCGTACGAGCCGGGCAGGAGAGAGAAGAGAATGGCGACGGGAGGGGCAAGAAAGGAGCAGGGAAGAGACAACGGGCGAAGATAGGGAAGAGAGGGGCAAGAAAGGAGCAGGGAAGAGACAAGTGGCAAAGATATATAACAAATGAGCCAGCAGCATCATCATTTATGGTAGGTAGAGCGATTTGGTACGGACCGGGTAGGAAGAGAGATTGGGCGGGTGGGATTGAGTTATATTGGAGAAAAATTATGAATCATGGTATAGAGGCATGCGGTAAAGTTAATTTACCGGCGGTGCATGAAAGATAAGTCAATTATGGATATTGTCCATAATGCGGATACGACGGATGGCGGGAGGAGAAGGACGGAGCGAGAGATGTAGGAGACCCATTCCACGGGTAGAGCGGACACGGGGTACGCATAGGAGAGGGGATTTATGGGCGGTCAGTCAGCGAGTCGTTATTCAGTACGGAAGCAAGGCGGTTAGGGTTCCGGCGGATTAGCCAGGAGTGGCATAGGATTTGCATGTTTGGTTCGGCCGTGGAGTGGAACAGCGGGCGGCCACACGAGTGGGCATTGGTCGTGTTAGTAACGCCGGGGTCGGCGGTGGGAGAGAGTTTTGGGCATTTCGTCAACCGGCAACGGGCGATGGCGTCAACCGGCAACGGGCGATGGGACGGTTGGACCGGATCGTGGTAGACGAGTGCCACGTCGTATTAGATTCGGGGGTCGGGGGCAGTTGGCGGTCCCGGATGTTGGGGTTGCATGGGTTAGTCAAGGCGGAGACGCAATTGGTATATTTGACGGCAACATTACGGCCGGCGGACGAGCAGGTATTCAGTCAGTAGGTTGGGTTGCCAGAGACGGGGCACATTGGTTCCACGGAAGAGGAAGAGGAAGAGGTATTAGCAAGATTGGTGGCGGAGAAGAGGTGGTACGGGACGCGGGAGAAAATTATCGTATATTGTAATACAGTAAAGAAGCCAGTCCAGTATGCGAAAACGTTAGGGGGTTTTGTTACCACCGCGGAGTCGGCAGCCAGGACGAGAAGAAGGGGATTGCACGGCAGTTACGATAGGGACAGCAGCAGGTATTTGTGACAATCAATGCGTTGGGGTTGGGGGTGGATGCGCCGACGATCCGAGTGGTGATACACGTGGGGTTGGTGCGGCGGTTACGGGATTATGCGCAGGAGAGCGGGCGGGCAGGGCGAGATGGCAAGCGAGGCAATCATTTTGCGAGGGGTGCAGCCAGCAGGGGAGAGGTGGCAAAGCGTTAAAGGAGACGGCAGAGCAGACAGAGGGTAAGCGGGTAGAGAAGGGTTTGTGCGAGTTTATGGAAACGCAGAGTTGCGTCCGGGGGGTATTGGACGGAGAGATAGAGGGGCGGAAAGAGCGGGCAGGTTGCGAAGACGGGGAGGAGGCGTGTTACCGGTGTCAAGCACGGGAAACACGTTGGGTAACGGGCGAGGGAGAGGCGGAGGGTATAATAGAAATAGTAGCAGAAGAGGCGGAAGAGGCAGAAGAGGCAGAAGAGGCAGAAGAGGTGGAAGAGGCGGAAGAGAGAGAAGAGACAGAAGAGAAAGAAGAGACGGAAGAGGCAGAAGGAGCAAAGGGGCGGAAGAAGAGGAAGAGGCGGAAGAAGAGAAAGAGGCGGAAGAAGCGGAAGAGGCGGCGGAAGAGGCGGCGGAAGAGGCGGCGAAAGGGGAGGTAGCAGATCCACAAGGGGGGAGCAGAGTACAAAGCGAGTAAGATCAGGGGAGAGCAATGACAGGGTTAGATATGGAGATATACCATGGACGGACAAAGACGCGCAGGCAGGGTTGGGACAAGAGGAAGCGGCAGGCAGAAGAGGCATCGGAGGTCGAGCATTTAAGAGAGATGTTGGTGCAATGGGCGACGGGTTGCCCGTGGTGCCGAGCAATGGGGAAGGAGAAAGTGGTTTATGGTAGTCACGTGTTGGAAGCATGCAGGGAGAGAAATGCAGAGGGGGTTCGAGAGATGGTGAAAAGGTGAAGCAGAGAATATGGTGGGAGAAGTATTTGTGTTGTTTTGATTACGGAT